TGGAGTTAACGAGATCGTATGGCGTCGTTGGGTATAGGGTAGTACTCAGAGGAAGATGCGTCGATGATTCTGGATAACCCCGAATCACCTCTGGATACTCTTTGCATTTTACCACCGCTGTCCTCCTTGCCTCCTCCACCTTGGCGACTCCCCTCAGCTCCTGTGGCCATCGCGACTCAGACGGCGATATCTTCCCAAACTTTGACCGCTACTCGGACTGGGCGATCTGCAAGGGCAAGATCACCAAGGACCGCTTCCCCAACCTCCAGTCGCCCAATCGTGAGGGCGGCTGCGTCCGGTACTACCAGGGTATCGACATGACAGGCGTCGTCACAGAGCAACACTTCTTCTTCAAGGACGGCTTCAAGACAGCTTGCGACTGCGCCGCCAAGTGCCTAGAGGAACCCAATAAGTGCATGAGCTGGGTGTGGAAGCATACCTGTATGCCGGAAGATGGTGGCAAGGGGTCGTGCACTCTGTACAGCAGTCCTAACCTGCCGACTAACGTCACGCTCAAATACGACTTGGCGAACAGCAAGGGCGCTATCCAAACGGTCAACAAACGGACAACAGTTGGTGATGATGGCCAATCGATCCCACCCCCTACTCTCCTATTCTTAATTGTCGTGTGCCCCAAACTGTCGCCTACCCCTGTTTATTCTCACATATGTGTCTATCTACGACCGATTTTCATCCATCGATCTCAGCGACTACAATCGCTCTTTTACACCTGGTCTTACAGTCCAAAATCAACTCTCGTAGAATTAATTGATTTGCCCCACATCGCATGGGGCAGAATTCATTTTTGACTGGGAGTAGAGTTGAATATACTACAGTCACTAGCCGGGGGTAGGTTTGAGTTTCTGACTGACGCTTGATTACGCGTCGCAATACAACGACACCATGATGCAGTGCCTACATGAAGATCCCTTCTGTAATGTAAAGTACGGGTGAGGCCGTGATCCATTAGGTTTGGGGGCCAAGGTGTCTGGATTTAGGAGGTTCAACGAGGATAGGAGGGGCTTAAGGCCATGCCGAGCAGATCTAGCAATGCCGTGCTTTTTGCCCAGATGCCCCGATGCACGTTTAGGACTCAAAGCAAAACCGCATTTAGTACATATAATAGCTACTTCCGGCAAATTGGAATAAAGGCTGAGCCTTTTGAGCTTCTGCAGCTTTGCCGGGAGTGAAGTAGGATGGCTATGTTGCCAATTAAGAGAGGAGCTGGCCAGTATGACTAAGTATATGTAAATATGGGGCGAAGATACTAGACGGTGAGTGGTCAAAAACAGGAAACGCAACGTTTCTGCTGATAATTCTTGGGTAGGGTATCATCCAACTCCCTTGCTAATCATCTACAACTCATGATCTGTCCAGAATACCTGTGCAATCCAAAAAATCAAGAACAATCGCCCCGGCTCGCCCCTTGAGCACGCTTCTTGCGAGGCTCAAAAGTCATGTTTTCAAGATTCTTGGGGGGCTTGTAAGCTCCGTCGTCACGATCCTCCTTGTCATTTGCATCGTCTGCCTCATCGGAGTATCGATTCTCATCGTCTTCCGCCATCCGGTCCTCTGAGCTTTCTGAATAGCGTCGCTTATTAACAACGCGGATTGAGGGCTCCGGCACCTCCTTTTGTTCTCGTAGCAGTTTGCGCCGTTCGGCCTTAGCCATCATGTCTGACATGTCGAGGTATGGGATTGAGAAAGGAATGTTGGGGCAGTCTTGACATAGATTGTCAGGCGCAAA